CTACTTTACCCCCTCCCTCCACTTTCTTAAAACTTCCTTTCCCATTTCATGGCTTTCTTTTAAGTTTCATAACATATATCACACACACACAGACACATACACATGTGTAAAAATAAAAATGCAAGATTAACATATGAAAGATAACATTTAGTATATATCTTTCAAAGTCTAGTTTATTTAGTTCCGTGTAATATGGAACGTGATCAGATGCAACAAAACAAGTGGCAGATCTTTAAGTGTTTACATGCTGTTAGGTGAACATTTCTTCCATTCTTGACAGGGAGTGCTGAATTTTTCTTTTTTTGTACAACATAGGCTTACTATTCTTTTGATGATATTTCTACCATGACAATGCTGAGAGAATATCTTGTGGAGCAAATATAGAGAAAATTATAAACATTTATTGCTCAGATGAAGATCAAAGGTCAGGACTAAACAAACATTCACTTTAATTGATCAGAAAAATTAAATGATGGATACCAAGTAGAAGACAGGAAATAAAAAGAGCATAAGAAGCCAATGACAATGAAGTGAGAAATTAAATCGATAAAATGATTAAATACAGGTTTGTGAAAACTGAAACCCTAGACAGACTGGAAAAAACTTGAAGATCATTCACAGATTGTCAGTAAATAAATTGAAGATCATTCACAGATTATCAGGGAAAAAGAAAAAAAAACAAAAAAAAAAAAACAGGGAATGTCACTATAAAACCCCCTGCATGAGCAGGGTACATCTGAATATAGCATTCAAAAAGGCTTTGGGGCTTCTGTGCATCTGGCTGTACACTGTTGGCTGTGCCTCTGGGTATGTTGGACTGATGTTTATGTTTCCAGCTTTTTTTGTTTGGTTGGTTGCTTGCTCCTTTTTTTTTTCCCTTTTCTTTTTCCTGCCTCCACAATCTCTGTTTTTCTTAGAGACCGGATACATGTGATATGAGGTACATAACCTTTTGGAGTTCTTCCTCTGTTTCATTGGTGGTGAGTTTATGCCCAGCTCAGTACTAGCTCTAATCTTTCAAGTCACACTGTGTCCCTTTGTCCTGGCCTTTACCATGGGCTCGTCAGCACTGCATCTTGAACATGATGGATTGCAATCGAGCATGTCCCTTTAGTGATGAAAATATGTTACTCTACAAATTCAGTTCTTCGGGTATAAACACTTTCATTGAGGCCAGGCCTGGCATTGAATAGAATACTTTGGACATGTTGTCAAATAGCCATACATTCACACCTTTATGCAGAAATTAGCTAAGAGTTTTCTGTTCTTGCCTATTATAAGAAAAAGGGGGATCTAGAGGCAAATCTCAGGAAAGTGTCCTTGGCATGACACTATCTGCCTACTATAGCTGGATCCTGTGTAGTAATGTGTACCTGGGGTTCCACTGTCTTCATCTGTTGTTGAGAGAATATCTTGTGCCTCTATGGAAACATGACCTGTCAGCAATAAATCTGATGGTCTAGAGATTAGACAGGAAATAGGAGGTGGGACATCTGAAAAGCAGAAAGAATTGAATAAATTGTAATAAATAAAAATAAAAAAGAAAAATATAATTTAAAATAAGGCATTAATAAAAAAAAAAAAGAATTCTGGGATAGAGCCAGGAACTCAGGTTCAGCAATAGAGATGTGGAAAGACACATCATAACTGAGCACAGGTAAGCAGCCACATGGCAAAAAGTGGATGTGTAAAATGGGTTATTTTAAATTATGAGCTAGTCAGAGAAGATCTTAGCTATATGGCCTTAGTATTTGTAAATATATAATGTATCTCATGAGTCATTATTCCAGAAGCTTGGGGCCATGATGAACCCCCATTCCCTCACAACAAACTGCCTCTCCTACTTGTTGGCAGAAGTTTGCCATAGGGCTTCAGTACTCCCTTTAAGGCAACGGTTCTCAACCTGAATGTTACAATCCCTTTGGGGGTCACATATCAGATATCCTGCATATCAGATATTTACATTACTATTCATAAAAGTACAAAATTAGTTTTGAAGTAGCAACGAAAATGGTTGGGGGTCAGCAAAACATGAGGAACTATACTGAAGTGTCAGAGCATTAGCAAGGAAAAGAACCACTACTCTAAGGTATATAAGAGATGCTGCCTTTAAGTTTGTTTCATCTCAACGTTGCATGTGTCAGTGGCAGAGACTTCGTAGCTCCTTTCATGCTGAAACTACACAAAAGAAAATGCGATTTGTGAAACATAACCCTACAAGGTTCTTTTATTAAAAATGCATAGGGCCTCATAGTCTACGCAATTACAGTATGTGTCAACATAAAAAATCATACCAGCTTTCACTTCAACACATAGTAAAGTTAAACCCATAATTCTAGAATATTCATGACAACTGTGAGTAAAAACAATTTGAAATGACCTTGAGAAGGAGGCCAGCTGATGAAGGATTTTTTAGAAGAGAATTATGACATATTTGTATTTTTTTTTATTTTTACAGCAATAATACATATAATCTGCACATTATAAAAATGTACAACATTAATTACTATCTCTGATTGATATATGTTTCTAGCATATCAAGAAAAATATTATATGTGTTACCTACTGCTCAGGTAGTAAAAGAGTGGTGGTCATGATGGGGTTAATTATACTATCTATAACTGTTAATCCTGTGTACAACAAAATTAATTACTGTGGATTATGAGGGAGTAACATTCTTTATCTCTTGGTTAGGATTCTAAGACCAGAAATTTGTCCTGAAATTCATGTATTCTTTTTAATTTAATTTTATTCTACGTTCAACCTGAAGATTCTTTGCCTGAACTTTTCATTAGGTGCACTAGTCAGGGTGAAGTCTTTTTATTTCCTCCAGAAGAGGCAACAGGAGCATCAGGCAAGAGAAAAATGCATGCATAACCCTGATCTCATCACAGCACTGTCACTATTAGACAAGAATTAGAAAATTCTCAAGGCTGGGAGCCATGGTGTTCCCACTTCTTCTAGAAAGTTGTAGAGCCTGTCTATCAGGAATGCTGGAATTTGGGTCCTGCATTTCAAGGCCCCAGTACAGTTCCTTAGTGAAAAGAACCGTGGTAAAAGGCAGATGATTGTTCTTTTTGTTAGAATTTGGTTCCAGCCCCTTCCACCCTGGGGTCGTGCTACTGTCCTTGTTCTCTAAGATATATCAGAGAACATGTAGTACACAGTATACCTAAACAGCCACAATGAAATTTCAGGAAAAAAAAAAAACTCACTAAATCCTCCCTCTTTTTGGACACAAGTAAAAATCGGTACACATTTACCTCCCTAAAAGGGATGTTCCTAGAGTGTGAGGTAAGAACCAGCTACTCACTTACATCCCTCCCAGAGGTTTTTCCAGAAAAACCAACAGTTCAACAACCACCTAAAGTAAGCACTCCCTTACAGATGACAAAATTGCAATGAAAATAACTGAACTAAAACGTTATCTTAAGGTTGAGGAGATGGATCAAAGGGTAATAGAGCTAGCTACTCCAGCCTGACAATATGAGTTATATTCCCCCAAACCACGTTAAGAGTTTCAACAGAGTGCAACTGAAATCCTAACACTCCTCTATTGAGATGTGAGGTAGAGGAAAGAGAAATGGTCACAATCTACAGCAAGTCTGAATTAAGAAGTGTAGCAGCAGATACAAGAGAGGTTCTGTTTCAGCATGGTAGAAGGCAAGAAACAATGTGAAAGTTGTCATCTGCTGCCCATATCTGTCCCATGGCATGTATGCATTGACCTCACACTGATATATGCACATAAACACTTATTTTACAGTTTATCTTTACCTGGGGCTAGAAAGCTTGGTAATTCAGTGCACTTGCTGGTCTTTCAATGAGTGCACCAAAGGTTTGTTTATATCATGCACAGCCTTACAAACATTCTAACTCCTATTCTAAAGGGTCTGTGTTCTACTTCTGGTTCCCCTAGCCATCAGGGACATAAATATTCCACTCACATACATGCAGGCAAAATACTCATACACCTAAAAAACACTTAAAGTAATCTTAATAATAAGTTAAAGAGTCCCTGTCTAGGAGTTCTAGGCCTTACTTTTTCATGATTCCACCATGTGTGGAACCTCCTGTAGCACACAGGAGTAAAACTTAGAGTATCTGAGTTGTGTTCAACTGTAACTCCTATTCCTGCCCCAGGACAAGATTCTTCTTTTAATATTTTAGTTTCATGTTTTGAGGTGATGGGTTTACAATCTTCTTGACTGCATGTGAAACATATGTTTCCCTGCTAAGTGACATGCCGAGGCTGATTCTTCTCTGCTGAAGTCCACTGACAACAGGTACTGCTCAGTTTTCCCATCTCTTAGCTCTAAGTCAGTCACACCTCCCAAGGGTGCTACATTGCAGTTTAATTGCAATCAACTCCCAAGGCAGCCTCCCAAGCTGCTTTGGTTTAAAGAGCTGACAGACACTTCAGGAGGGCCCTCTACAGTCTTTCTGTACTAGGGTTTGTGGTTTAAAAGGACTTCGGCCTTCCTCACAGGGATTTGGCTCCTGCATTCACCCCATCTACAAAAAAGCATGAATCTGGTTTGTGCTATGTACCAATTATCCAAGGAGAGATAGGGATCTGGTTTCTCCTACATTCCACTGATAACACAGAACTTTCCACAGAATAGATCCTCAGTGAAGATTTTGGGAAGAAATTCCATTTAGTTTAGTTTTAACTTTAATTAGTTAACTAGCATGAGAGACTAAACATGGTTACATGATCAAAAATTAATTTTATTCTGTTTTTTATTAATGCCAATTTCGTTTCTGTTGCCCAACGAATTCCATCTTTAATGGTATCATATCTTATGACATATTACAAATTATAAAACATTCTTGTTTGTTTTCAAGATAACAAAATTCTCATAACCTGATCGACAACAGATACATAGCTAATATCATTTTTAACCTTAAAAATTTCTCTATCGACTCTAAAATACTACTACAGTAGAAGTTGTGATGGTCAGAACAATGGTATCTACCATCTGCAAGGGTTTTCTGGACTAGGCCCTCTCTTCCTCTTCCCTCAAAGCTTCTGCATACTTTTCAGGGTAGGATCTGGGATCCTGCTTAAGGATGCTAGCATAAAACTGCAATATTTTCATCTTGGAGGTCTCAGCATAGGCCCTTGGTCCCCACAGGTACTCAAAGCGTGGAGGACAGCTATTGAGCACCTGCCTGTATTCCACATACCCTTCCTGCACAAATTCTCCAGTTATGAGACTCCTGGGCTCACCAAATATGAAATGATCAACCCCAGCATACAGCCCAAGGCTATTCAATACATCCCAGAAAACCTCCTCACTAACACAATTATCCTCTATATAGATGATGCAAAGTGTGATTATAACCAGGCCTGTCTTGGGTATGCCTATAACTCCATGCATCATCCCATCATAGGTGATCCCCAGAGCAGGCAAAAGAAAATAGGAGTGGATAAATGGATCCACTTTCATCATGTCAATGCCAAAGATAAGCTTCATGCACTCAGAGGCCTTACTAAGTATCACAGGGTAGTGCTCCTCATAATCTCTCATGGCCCCATGCATCATTTCTGCTTTGGTGGTTAGCTCCATCCTTCGAAACTTGATGAGCAGGAATCTCACCAAATCAACCATCTTTCTATTTAGCACACCCTGCTGGGGAGACTCAGGGTTGGCTAATTCCGCTTCAGGATTGCCATAGGCCTCACATGATGATGCCCCTGCAATAGAGCCCATGGCAGTGAGAGGAGAGGAGGCTCTCTGGGCACTCTGCAGAGAACTTGGTGTTCCTCCAACAGACACATCCCCTGAGTTGGTGGCAATGACCTCCATCTCTCCCACTTCATCCATGGTGCCCTGAGCACCCTTCAGGCCACTTTCTTCCCATTGGGCCTGAGGGCTATGCAGGAAGTTTAAACTCTGGCTGTTCTCAGTAGGATTCATCTTGAGTTTCCTTGGATATGTGCAGTTCACAGGGATGAAGACTCACAAATCTGAGGAAGAATGGAAAAATGTAAGGGTAACCTCCCAGAAAAAAATTTTTATAGGAGTTTGCTTGGGTGGTACTCTAAGTCCAAAGACTATGTTGCTGCTTGCACCCCTAAAAAACCTGAAAGAGGAAAAGACATGGCTTTTCCAGGTACATCATACTTCTTGCCAGAAGCAAATGCTCAGAAATTCTGTGTCTCTAGATGTAATCAAGGGAAGTGAAGGTGCCTCACACCTCTATACCTGGTCCTGAGCAGTTGCAAAAGTTTGCCCAGATCAGTATGGTCTCATTTTCCTAGCATATGAGACCAGCCTGATCCTCATCTGGATAAATGTAAAGGAGAAGGTTGTTCCATGTGACCCTCTATGTCTGCATTCGTTAAGGCAAAGGTCTATGTTTTGTGAGACAGGAAGAGGAGAAGGAATGGCATCTATCTGAAGTGCCTAGGATTTCCCACTGCTGGCAGGAAGGCAGGGGGGTAGCGAGTCTCTGTGTTGGGCTTATAGGACTTCCTAAGGTCTCATCTTCGTCCTGACACATCTGATCCACTGTCTGATGACTTCAGCCAAGTCCTTCAACTTCTTTAGACTAGTTCCTGGAAATTACACAGGGAGTTCAGACTGACAGCCGTGAAGAGGACTGCTGTGGAGAAAGAGGTTCGGGGAAGATATATTTGGACCTATGTCTGTGCTTCAGGCTGGAGTTTCTTCTAATCATCCTCTGAGATCCTTACTTGGAGCTGGCCAGCCCTGGGAGCCCTGTGATTAACCAAATTCTGGTCACATTCCTCATCTCCCTGAGCCTCTTAAAGCTCTCAGGAGAAGTGAGTGATAGCAATCTCATTCCTGTGTGAGATCTCTGGTGATGACAACATACACTACCTGGGGTCAACTCTGTTGAAATATGGGTTCCCTAAGTCTACCTGAATTTCACCTTACCTGTCCCCCAGACCAGAACTCCCACTCCTGCTAGAGATAGTTTAAATAAGCAAGCCACTTAATGTCCTGGAACTATGATGCCAGGGCATATTCAGTTTGCAAAAGTACATTTTTCTTGACTTCAGATATAGTCCTTATAGGAGGTCTGACTACCAAATACTTCTGCTGTCTATATGTAACTCCCTCCTCTGCAGTGACATTAATCCTAGGACCAAGTATATCATCTCCAGAGAACTCTCACTAGTAGATATGAAACTGAAAGTAAGCCTTCAACACTAGCCATCTATCCAGGGCTCTCCAGCCTTCCAAAATAAGCCACAGAAACTGTGGTCCCTTGTTAGAATCGATGTAGGGTTTCTTCACACCTTTAGTTCTCACTGTGGTTGCTCACCTGTGTTGCTGGAAGATAATGGACAATTCCCTCTAGTGGCTCTGTCTGCTGTTTGCTGATACCACACACTGTATAGGCTCACGTTCCTGAAGAGAGGAAGTGAAGTAAAAGCCCATTTTGCGAACTTGAAGTATTTCTCAAGACAGACAGAATGAAAAGGATTCCTCTTTTAGCTTGGGGATTCCCATGGTTTTCCAATTATATCTCATAAGGCCCATGCTGACTCTCAGATAAACATCATTCAGGACCAGGCCAAACCTGATCCCCACCTAAACCCCTGAAGAGGAAGTTAAAGGTTACATCTTTGATCCACAGTTTTCCACAGTGGGGGCTGTAGAAGGTAGAGGAGGTAAGAATGGGGTAAGTGGCAACTTCTTCAGGTCCAGTATCAGGGATCTTCTTGCTCCTGCTTCAGAGCCATGATACAGTACCTCTACCCATCTAAGGCCTTACCTTTCAGAAGTACTCTGCATGTATATAAAGTAGAGAAGGGAAGTAGGTCAATTATTTAACCTTCCTATTGCTGTGACACTTTGATATAATTACCCATGCTGTGGTAACTCAAAACCATAAAATTATTTTCATTGTTACTTCATAATTGTAATTTTGCTACCTGTGGAGAGGAAGTAAGCCTCCTTCCTGCAAGCCAGCAGCACTAAGGCATCTTCTGAGCACTTGGAACCATACCTGACACATGGGTATAAGTCTCCCAAATCCCAGGAGACAGTTACTGAAGACACAGAAGGACTCATTCCCATAATTTAGCCTTGGTTTGTAGAAGCAGAGTCAAACTTATACAATGTAGCTTTCTTTATTTCAGCCTATTTATCTCTGGAAAAAGTTCCTCAAACTACTCCCAACACCCATCTTGACTGACAGATGCCTGGAGTCTTTATGGAGTCTCTCTTGGGCCCTGAGTCATTGGAGAGTGTAACAGTGTCAAGGAATAACTAGTTCCTCCAAGAATGACATAATTATATAATTCTCCAGTCCAATTATAACTTGAGTTCACACTAGATCAGTGCTTCTCAACCTTTATAGTGTTGTGACTCTTTGATACAGATCCTCATGTTATGGTAATTCAAGACCACAAAATTATTTTTGTTGCTATTTCATATTTGTAAAGTTGCTACTGTTTTGATTCAAATGTAAATATCTTATGGTCTTAGGCAACCACTATGAAAAGGTCCTGTGACTCCCAAAGGAGTCAAGATCCACATGTTGAAAAACATTGTTCTAGATGGAATTGGGCTTCTGGAGTCCATTGTCAGGTGCCACCCCCCCCCAATAAAAGAGAAGTTGCCATCTAGTCTAAGATGACTTTTAAACACAGCTCCTCTGTATTTGTCCACAGTGAATACATGGACAAAGGGCTTATTGTTAAAACCAAATCCCCATTTGGTACAGTAGGAACAACAGGGTTACAGCTTTAATATTGTGTGACCCTCTATTGGGAATTGGGATTTTTCCAGTCTGTTGTCCAGTCAAGCTTTAATCCTGGACAAGGACTTTTCCTCCTTACTGCGAAAATGCAACTGTACAGTCCTCAAGGAACTGCCAGCTGCATAAGCAAAAGTGCCTCTAACTATATGTAAGCCCCACTTGGTGCCATGCTAATCAAAGGAGTCAGGAATCCTTCAATCCTGAAAGAGAATCCCAGAGTGCACCATCACTTTTCACTTGAGATCTGAAAGCAGGGTAAGGATGGCTCCCTTCCCTGAACTTCACAAAATGGCACCTACTCCCTGGAAGCAAAAAGTGTTGACGGAATTCCACCTTCCAGAAAATGGCTCTGAGCCTCTGCAATCCCCGGATGCTAGAGAGCACTGATTGGAATTCACCCTTCCAGGACACACACACACACACACTCACACACAAATGGCTCTGCGTCTCCAAAGTCCACAAGGTGCAGAAATCACTGACTAGAACTCCACCAACCAAGAACCTCAAACAATGCCCCTAAACTTTTACTACTCTGCCTACCAGGAACTTCACAAAATTGCTCAAAGTCCCAGTATACAGAAAACACTGAGGAAAACTCTGCCAACCAGGAACCACAAACAATGCTTCTAACCCTTTAAAGTGCCCAGAGGGAACCTCACAAAACTTCTGTAATACTCCAAAGTTCCCAGAATGGAAAAAACAAACAAACAAACAACAACAACAACAAAAAAAAAAAAAAAAAAAACACTGACTACAACTCCAACTACCAGGAACCTTACAAAATGGGACTAAGTTCCCAAGGACCTAGATGCAGAAAGCAGCAAAGGTACTTAACCCTGCTAGGACACTGACAAAAGGGCACTGAGTCCACAAAATCCCTGGATGCAGAATGCCTGGTATGCTAGCTCTGAAGTTAAGCCACAGATGCAGAGCACACTGAGTGGACTTCACCCTTCCAAGAGCTTCACAAAATGGCTCTGCATCCCCAGACTACCAGCATATACACTTGGAACAGTGGGGAGGAGTTAATTTCCGCAAATCAGCATTCAAGAGTCTTCCAGCTTCCAGCAACCTAATAGAATGCCCATGAGTCTCCAAAGTCCCCAGTATACAGGAAGCATTGACCGGAACTCCGTCTATCAGGAACCTCACAAAATGGTTCTGAACTTTTATGGTGCCCAGATGCAACCTCACAAAAAGGCTCTGAGTCTCCAAAGTCCACAAGTTGCGGAAAGCATTGACTGGAATTCTGCCTACCAGAAACCTCAGAAAATATCTCTGCCTTTTTTAAAAAATCTTTTATTATTATTATCATTTTTATTAATTACACTTTATTCATTTTGTATCCCCCCATAAGCCCCTCCCTCCTCCCCTGCCGATCCTACCCTCCCTCCCCTTTCTGCATGCATGCCACTCCCCAAGTCCACTGATAGGGGAGGTTCTCCTCTTCTTTCTGATCTTAGTCTATCAGTTCTCATCAAAAGTCTCTGCCCTTTGAAATGCCCAGATGCAACCTTACAAAATGACTCTGAGGCCCCTAATTCCCTGCATGCAGAAAGCAGTAAGTGTACTTACCCCTACCAGGACACTCACAAAAGGGCACTGAGTCCACAAAGTCTCTGGATGCAGAATGCCTGGTATGCTACCTCTGAAGTTAAGTCCCCAGGTGCAGAGCACACTGAGTGGTTCTCCCTCCCAAAGTCTTCACAAAATGTCTCTGAGTATCCAAACTACCAGGAAATGGACTGGGAACAGTGGGGAGGAGTTAATTTCCACAAATCCACATTCAGGAGTCTTTAGCCTCCAGGAATCTAAGAAAATGGATGTGAGTCTCCAAAGTCTCTAGGATACAGGAAACATTGACTATAAATTCGCCTACCAGGAACCTCACAAAATGGTTCGGAGTCCTGTAAGTCCCTGCATGCAGAAAACACTATGTGTAGTTATCCCTGTTAAAACACTCACAGAAAAGGTTTGATTAGCCCAATTACCTGGATAAAGAAAGCCTGGTATGCTAGCTCTGAAGCTTAAGCCCTTATGCAGAGCACACTGAGTGGACTTCTTCCCTCCAAGAACTTCACAAAACTGTGCTGTGTCTAGAAACTACCCGGATATTGAAATGGAACTGTGGGAGATACTTCCCACAAATAAGCATCCAGGAATTGTCTAGCCTCCAGGAACC